TTCCGATCTTACTTTCGACATCCATAATTCATTAAATTACTTACTGATTCTTTACAAAGCTGCACTGATGCAAATGGAGATGCATCAAATCTAAAAATTTTTTACCAAGTTTGCGAAGTTCCAAAAACTAAACTAAAAATTGCACGCAAATGAGGTTTACATCGTTCGAAAGCGTAAATCTTTAGCTTTAATTTCAGCACCCGATCAGCAATGTGCGATTTTTTATCACCGAGTTATTCAACATTGAAGCAAAAATGACCATTTTTGCTTCAATGTTGAATAACTCGGCGAAAAAAAATCGCACAATGCTCACCGACTGCTCAAATTAAAGCTAAAGATTCACGCTTTCGAAAACTGTAAGCCGCCTTTATGTGCGAAATTTAATTCAGATCGTGGAACCTTGCAAATTTTGGGGGAGATTTTGAGATTTGACGAATTTTTTTTGCGAACTTTGCAAAGTTCCAGAAAATCAAATAAAAATCGCACGCAAATGAGGTTTACATCGTTCGAAAGCGTAAATCTTTAGCTTTAATTTCAGCACCCAATCAGCAATGAGCGATTTTTTTTCACCGAGTTATTCAACATTGAAGCAAAAATGACCATTTTTGATGAAGTTACACTCTCTTGAAATTTGCCTATTTTTAGTGATCAGAATGGGTGATGCTTTAATTTTGCTGTCGAGTGTATTTTATTAAAAATTTAATCTTTTTGTAGCATTTATATATTATTGAATATTAAAGTTTTGTAATCAACACGCATATAGAAGAAAGTTTTATATATACAATTAAGGATTCATTTATTGCAAATTGGATACAATGTTCATTACAGAATACCTTGTACAAGATTCACAATAATACCTACACAAATATAAATAAATTAATATATTTTATCACCTATAGGGGATTAGACGAATTACATTAACTTTGATTTTTATAAAGTTTATATTGATTACAATGCTCTACTTTCATTCTAACATTTATGAATGTACGTTTAATTAAACGCTAATTTAATATTTGATATTTCATACAGAAAAAGATATCTCAATGGTCTCGACAAATTGGAATTTGCGGCTAAACAAATTTCTCAGATGAGGATTGTGCTGACAGAGTTAAAACCACAGTTAGAAGCTTCAGCCAAAGAAACAGCAGACACAGTGCAACAGATTGAGACAGAGGAAGTAGTAATTAAACGAGCAACAATTGAAGTAAAGAAAGATGAGCATATTGCAAATGCTCAAGCTGAAATCGCTAAACAACTCAAAATGGAATGCGAAGCTGATTTAGCTGAAGCTCTGCCAGCCTTAGAAGATGCAACAGGTTTATTTATTTGCTATTTATTTTCAGGATAATTTTTAATATATTTAATAAAAAAAATAAAAGAACACTTAATTTTATTAAAATAAATGACAAAAATAAAAATGTATTTAATTACATATAAATAATTGCTCAGAATTAAAGGCTTAGAATAAACCTTAAAGTCATTCGTTTTACCGATTAAACACAATAATTTTTGTACCAAGTTTTCATAAGTAGTATATGGGCAGCTATGAGCCCATTAAAACAAATCTCCGTGCGTCCCAATTACGTTATCGGCGCTAAGGGTCTGTTTGGATTAGCCAGTCAAAATAGAGCGATTGGTTGTTTCTCCATAGTTCCTCATGATCTGATTGATTGCGTGGAAGGGTAATATAGGAAAGAACCTCGACAATATGAAAGGTGCAACAGAGGATCCGACAACATGGCGGATGGAACGGGAAAATAAATGGGGCCGAACATTTTATTTCGCAGGAAGGAAGTGGGGTAGAACAGGTGCAAGTAGGTTCGCGCAACTCAATATTATCTGCTGTGACATATTGGAGAAGGTTCTTTTCTATTGTAACTTATCACGGAAATGAATGTTCGAGGGTAAGGAATTTTTGTGTCCGAGCGTGTTATAGAATGTCTTATAGAGCAGAAGTAATAAGAGAGATAGAACAGTCAACAGGTACGTGTATGTTTCGACGCGTTCCGACATTTTCCCATTCACTTTTTAGAAAAAAAATCTTTCTACTGCGCTTTATGACTTACGGTAATTAAATATTTTGCTTCAAAGAATAAAAGTATTCGCTAATTAAGGCTGAAAAACGAAAAAGGAGACTGTTGCGGAAATCGTAGATACGTGTAAGAAATAAACGAGAAATGAAGATACAAAAGTCGTTTATTGGTAAAATATAATTATTACATAGAATCAGGCTTGATGTATGATTAAATATTTCCTTTATATCTTATTTGTACTTTTTAAAGTACATGATTGAACATGACAGTATTCAATATTATCGAATTTATTATGGACTCATGCATTGTGTTATAGTCCAAAATTAAAATCATTATCGCTTTTTAAGTGTTTGAAAAAACACTTAAGCAGTAAAGTCAAACAAAAATAAAATGCTGTTAAAGATTCCTTAGATAAAGTGACAGACCTTATTCTAACATATGTAACGTTCAAATTACAGTGAACTTTAAGTTTATTTCTGTTTGACTTCACTGCTTAAATATTTTTCCAAACACTTAAAAAGCAATGACAGTTTTAACAATTAGTTTGGACGACTGATAATTGATTACGCCTCATTCTCCGCAACACTAATTAATGTAACTAAAATATGTAATGGTTATTCCGTTTATACTCATTGTACTTAGGAGGACTCAGACAAGAGCCAAAACGTTTACTTTTGTATTTATCTAATATATATTTTAAACACACGTTCATCCTGTGTTGGCTTAAATTAGCTTCATTCCTATTTATTTATTTTGTTTATTTATTTACTTGTGTATTGTATATTTTACTCTTAAGTATTTTAAAAATTCAATATCTTTGGAAATAATAGCTGCACTTAACACATTGAAGCCGGCGGATATTGCTGTGGTAAAAACTATGAAAAGTCCTCCAGAAGTTATCAAGCTAGTAATGGCAGCTGTATGTGTAATGCTGAATGTACCAGCAATTAAAACGGAAGATCCAACCACTGGCGCCAAGATTCTTGATTATTGGACACCCAGCAAACGGGTATTAGGTGATATCAAGTTCCTAGAATCCCTACGACAATACGACAAAGATAATATTTCAGAGCATGTGATACAGGTATGCACTATGTGAGTCATATAAAGAATTTAATTTCTGAAGTATCAAGACATGCATTAGTTTTGCACTAAATAGATTTTTCGTAAAATACTTCTTTTCATGAGTGAGACAGTTTTATAGAAAGAAAATTTTTATTCTTTTTTTTTAATTCTTTGTTGTCATAATTCTATCATGTTTCACAATTGTCACATTGGATCAAGTAAAATTGATTTTGAAATATCTGCCATTTTAGAACCATGCATTTGATTCAAACAAAAAAATTATAAAACATACTGTGGGATAATATTTAAGGTAGGTTCAGGATTTGGCATTTAATGATAGTTTTATTCACGTACACTTCAAACGTAACAAAATGATAATTTCAAAATAAACTGTCTCTTGCGCTACGTCTCGACGCTTCGAGTCCTCGTCTTAGCCTGCCGATCGCTCGCGATCACTGTTATTATACATACATCATTCATCGATGGCCGCGAATGATAGGTCATTTATCCGAATGCCCTATCATTCGCGGACTCTATCTGGCGGATGAGCACCGCTAAAATAATACTTAAACTTAAGAAAACTGATCCTACATCTTCGGCCGTCCTGCTCTAACATCTGTCCTCAGATGTTGACTTTACTCATCGTTTGACAAAATCGATTGAGGTATCCACGGTTTCATGTAATCTGCTGCCGTCGACGTCTTCCCTCATGCTCACCAACTTTTTTAACAGCATATCGATCATTAAGTGTTATTACAGACTATTTGATATGGTCCTAAAAACTTACCTTTGAACGGTACTTCAAGCCTGGGCTTGTCTGGGTACGTTTTTGCCACCAAATCGCCATCTGCATATCTCAGAGGTTTTTTTTACGCTTCTTATTAAAAGTCTTCTGATTTTCATTTTGGATTTCAGTGATCTTCTTTTTAGCTTCCATCCTAACAAGTAAACCGGTATAACTGCCGAATAGGAAACCCATCTCCAATGATCTTGACCTTGACATATGTTGTCAAGGTCATGACCCTGAGTGACCATCAAAAGATTTTAGCCGTCGTTTGTCGTTTGTTAAAAAGTTATTAACAAAAAAAGTAATAAAAATTAATGGTAATTAGTCACTTTAGGGAATCTTCGAAGATTTTGATCTTGACATATATTATTAAGCTCATTTTTTTACTTATTTTTTACTCAGTTATTTAATACGAAAGCAAAAATGGTTTTTTTTACTTCAATGTTGAGTAACTCGGTGGAAAAAAATTTGCACAATGCTTATCGAGTGCGCAAATTAAAGGTAAAGATTCACGCTTTTGAACGTTTTTGTAAGTCACATTTGTATGCGATTTTTATTTCACTCCATGGAACTTTGCAAATTTAGTAAAAAATTTTTAGATTTGATGCATCTCCATTTACA